AATGCTTGGTAAGAAATGTACGCATTATCCTGCCCATGCAATTGTAACCCCTCTGTACAGTATGTTCACAAATAAAATAAAATAAAATTTAAAAAAAAAAAAAGAAAGAGAGAAAGGTAGAGGCCTCAGAGACAGCCAATAATATCCCAAGCCACTTGGTGGCCATCCACAGCATACGCAGAGCGTACAGAGGCAAAGGCCATAAGGTCTCTTCAGGTGGCTGTTTTGCTCAAAGTAAGCTCAGCAGGTTCTGTGCTCCTGACTGAGGAGGCCTCAGCAAAGAAGGAAGGGAAGAGAGAAGCCTAGAAGGGGCAGTGCCAGTTGCTCATTCTAGAGCTAAGTGAATGAAGCACAACCACCTTCCTGGGTTCCAGACCAATCTATGGTTTTAAGTGAGGAAAGAACACGCAGGAGGAGTTAAAGGTGAATAAAAGAAAAGTACATTGGGGTACACTCCTAGGAGAACTCCCTGGTCAGGATCAGAGAGGTCACACTGAGTCTGGTTGTGGCAGGGTTTATATGGCCGGGGTCAGCAGGAACTTTTAGCAGGTAACTTGTTTTGCAAGCTTCAGAGGATTCAGGCTAGTGCCCCTCAAGAAGGACTCAGACAGGTGGTGTATAAGTGGCTTTTCTCAGCTGCCTCTGCCCTCCAGTGGCCTGACAGTTTTAACTTAAATTGAGACCAAGTTAAATGATCTCCAGTCAGGAGGGAGTGGGAGGGGGAAATAGAAAGAGAGAGACAGAGACAGAGAGAAATTGAAAAATCAAACCTAGAATGGCTAGACTCTGAGAGGGAACCTAAAGGGGCATCCGCAGGACCAAGCCTGCGTCGCACTCTTGCAGGCACAAGCCAACAGGTTGGAGAAACTTAAGTAGGAGAGAGCACAAAAGAGCTTGACAGTAAACAGACTTCTGACCATGACAATTGCAGTGGCAAAAACTGTATCTCTGAGAATATTTTGACCAGGCCTCATGGCAAATGCAAGAGGCATTCCGACTGAGTGTCCCAGCTCAGGCTTAAAAGCTCAGGAGGCAGCCAGTCTGGTGAGTGAAGGAGAGCTTACTCGATGGAAGCAGCGTCCCACATCCTCCAGAGCCCTCTAGACACATTTCACTCACTTGAATGGAGAAGTGGTGAGCGTGGATGAGGAGGCCAGCAACAGTTTTGGCGAAAAATTTAGTGTAGCATCTTGCAGCACACTTCAGTTCGTGGAAAAAAGGCCGGCAGAACTGGGAATTTCTTCGGGGGGAGGGAAGTGGAAGGAGGAAAAACACAGAAAAATGGGGGGGCACAACACGGAGAGGAATCCCACTTATCCTGCCTTTAAACCCTTGCCAAGTTTACACAGCACCATTCATGTGAGGTATTTAAATAGGTAGCTTTATGTAGGGAGCGGCTAAAGAGAACACCACACGCTTTCAGGCAAACCACTTGTCCCTGCCAAGCAAGGTAGAGACCACATGCCTGAAAGATGGGGTGGACTGAGGTTGGACCTAGGTTTAAGTAGGACAAGAGAGGGGAGAAGTTGCAGCCAGGTGAAGGAAATTGTTGCAGCACCTTCCCTCAGGGCCTGGGACCCTCCTCTGGTCCCAAGGGAAATGGGGGGAGGCAGGCAGTGTGAGTGTGTGTGAGTGTGTGTGTGGGGGGGGGTGTGTGCAGCCCAAGATGAGACCTCCTTACCCATGTGACACAGGTACTGGGTGGAGACTTATCCAAGAGGAGGGAGGAACCTGCTCCACCTTCCCAAGGCCGACCTTACTTTATAAAAAACTGTATTGCTTTTGCTATAGGTGTGCCTGTTGCTTCAGGTAAGGCCAATGCTAACTAGGGAAGGGAGGGGAGAAGTTGAGGTCAGGTGAGAGAAAGTGTGGTTTCACCTTCCATCAGGGCCTGGAACCCTCCCCTGGTCCTATGGGAAATGGGGTGGTGGGATGATGGTGTGTGTGTGTGTGTGTGTGTGTGTGTGTGTGTGTGACTGTTTTACCCTAACTATGATACTGATGGACCCTACTATGTGTGTGTGTGTGTGTGTGTGTGTGTGTGTGTGTGTGTGTGTGACTGTTTTACCCTAACTATGATACTGATGGACCCTACTAAGAACCCTCCCCTGGTCCTATGGGAAATGGGGTGGTGGGATGATGGTGTGTGTGTGTGTGTGTGTGTGTGTGTGTGTGTGTGTGTGTGTGACTGTTTTACCCTAACTATGATACTGATGGACCCTACTAAGCCCAGGTCTTCATCCTCTTCTCACATCACACCTGCAACGATTTTATTTGCTAGGATCTTCTGCTCCACCTCAGATGTTTGCTGAGCCTCAGGAGCCAAAGGAGACCAATACAGGTTCTGCAGGACAGCTACCTCCTGTGCTAGGTGAGGATCACAACCCAGCCCGACCTCTGCCTCATTCGCTCAAAAGTACCACACAGAACAGTGCTCTAGCTGAGGCTTCAGAGCAACCCTCATCTAAGATACCAAAACATACTGTGAATTCACAAGGGAAAGCATTTGTTCTTGCACCCGAGGAGCGGCTGAAGGATCCAGTTTGGGTTGGTTTCCATGAGCGGAGGCAGCAAAAACTTCAGCTGAGAGCCGCTGAAAACCGATTGGCACAATCTCAGCTAGATCCACTCAAAAGTACCAAAGAAAAGGTTGCTCAAGCTGAGGCTTCAGAGCAACCTTCATCTAAGATACCAAAACATACTGTGAATTCACAAGGGAAAGCATTTGTTCTTGCACCCGAGGAGCGGCTGAAGGATCCAGTTTGGGTTGGTTTCCACGAGCGGAGGCAGCAAAAACTTCAGCTGAGAGCAGCTGAAAACCGATTGGCACAATCTCAGCTAGATCCAAATATAAACGTGGCTTATGTTGACAGTGTGCCTCAGAAAGGCAAAGACAATGCTGATGAACCTCTAGAACCCCTTGAGCAAGATGAATCTTCTCAGTTCCACCAGCAGGCCCATACTCAAAACCCCAGGACTCCTGAGAAGCTCCGGTCCCCTGCAGCTCAGGAAGAGCACCCAGTGCAACAGCTTGTTAGCGAGGAGGTTGTGCCATCAGTAGAAAAAAAGCCTCAACATTCAACACTGCCAGATGCCACAGTTCAACCTGCAGATGTGCAGATTACCTTCACCACTCCCAGTCACCAACACACTGCAGGCCAGCCTCCAGGGAGACCTCCGGAGGAAGAGCTGTCATCTACCCAACAAGAGGCGCCAGCTCAACCTTCAGAGCTCCCAGAGTTTGGAGAACCTTCTGAAACCCATCTAGAAGCCCCAGCTCAGCCTGAAAAACCTTTTGAGGGAGTCAGACCTCCAGGTGAGCAGGAGGCTCCTGTTCAAGCTCCAGGGGCCCCCTTGGAGAGCATAGATGTAAGTCCCCCAAACCATGAGCTGACAGCTCAGTCTTCAGGAGAGGTCCAAGCTCACCATGCCAACGTCTCCTATATTACAGATAAGCCCCCAGATGTGATAGTGACCATCACTGCAATGCCTACCAAGGAGACTGAATCGCCTCTATCCCACAATGAGGCTCCAGCTGGTCCTGCAGGTTACAGAGAAGAGACAGAACCTGCTTTCAGTGAGCAGGAGCAGGCATCTCAACCTGAGTCTCTTGGGGAGACTGAGCCTTCTGTAATACAGCCTGAAGTCCCTGCTCAGGCTTCAGAGCACAATGGGGAGGTTGAATCTTCTCTAACCCAGCAGGAACAACCAGCTCAGTCGTCTGAGCATCATGAATGGACAATTTCACCTCCAGGTCTGAATGAATCTCAGCATTCAAACTTGGACAGTTTGACTGGTAAGCCTCCAGATGTGGTGATTACCATAACACCACAGTCAACAGATGCGTGGGGGAATTCTCCAATCCCCACTGAGGCTCCAGCTTATCCCTCAGTCCCAGGGAATGATATGGGACTTTCTATAACCCAGCAAGAGTCCCCAGCTGGGCCACCAGAGCCTCAAGTGTCCATACCTGTATCAATCCAAGAAGAGGCTCCAGCTTCAGGACCTAGTGGACATGAAAAGCCTTCCACCCAACAGGAAGCCACAGCAGAGACTACACAGACCTCTGAAGAGGTTATACCTCCAACCCAGCCTCCAGAGGGAGAAGTGCCACCTCAGCCTCCAGAGCTTCCTAATGAAATTGTTCCAGCTACAGAACTTCATGAGGTTCCACCTGCACCATTACAGAACAATACCGTTAACCCCTCAGAGATGAATGATGTTGAGATGACAACCCAATAGGAGGTCCCTGACCAGTCCTCAATGTTCTCTGAACAGTCTGGTCCCTTGGAAGACCAGAATGAGGTCCCAACCCTGAAGCCAAGACCCCCTGCATTGCATCAACACTCTCCAGTCTATGAAGGAATCTCTCCAGGGCTTGAAGAGCTTCCTGAGGAACCTTCTCCAAGCCAACAAGAGAGCACAACTCTGCTCCCCAAGCCCTCTGAGAGTACTGAGTTTCCAACCAGCCAGCAAGGACTTCTACTTCCGTCACCAATGCCCAGTATGGACTACAGTATTCCTCTACTGTCAGATAGCTGGGGATTTTCACCTTTAGATTTGGAAACAGTGTTCAAAGGTCATAATGAACTAACATTACCTAAAAACCACAATGAAACATGTGGATCTGGAGTTGACCATAACTCCACAGACTAATGAACAAGTTGAATTTTCTCCAAACCAGTCTGGCCTCCCTTCCCAGCCTCCTCAAGGCCCTGAAAATGTTGGATCTTTTTCAGTCCATCAAGAGACTACAACTCAGACTTCTCAGAAGCAGCAAAGTGCTTCTACAATTACCATAATGGCTTCATCTCTGCCTGCACAACTCCCCGAGAAGGTGGAACCCTTTCCAGTACCTCCACTGGACATAGAACTTCCTTCAGTTCAGGATGTAGAGCCAACTCAGCTTCCAGTGCTGCCTCATGAGATGGTGGTGCAACCTCCAGGGCACTATGAGACGACAGGTCCCACTCCAAATCAAGATGTAACTCAGGGTCCAGTATTGCCCAGTGTCACATCTCAACCTGTGGACCTGGAACTCACAATTACTCCAGAAATCTCTACTACACCTAAACATTCTACGGACCTCAAAAAGCACCCTTGGGTAACACTTCAACCTGTACACATCCAACTGACTGTAACTGTGCAAGGTGTTGTAGATGAAGCCCCAGGTCAGCTTACAAAGCCACCTACAGAGGATGTGGCACAATCGGAAGAAAATCAGGGGGTGACAGTTCTCGTCACAGGTCAGAATGAAACTCAGCCTTCAGCATTGCCCAATGTGACAATTCAAGAATTTGACCTGGAAGTTACACTAACTCCAGACTCCACCATAGAGCATGAACATTCTTCAGCTCTGAAGGAAACAACCCCAGAACAACCTGAGGTAACCTTTCTACCCCCTATTGAGTCTCAGCATCCCCCTTTGACTGAAGACTCACTTCATCCGTTTGACATAGCAATTACCTTTACTCCAGATCCCAATATGGAGGTTGGGCTTGCGCCAACCATACAGGACACCTTCACTGACCTTTCAACACCACCCAAGGGTTCTACAACCCAAGCCCCATTTTCCATCACAGGTCCGACTCCAACCTGGACTCCAATGACACACAAGGTCACACCTAAAACAATGGGCCTACCACTTTCCACAACCTCAGAACCCATTACAGAGACAGTCCCAACGGAGCCTATGCCAGAGACCCAGGTTCCGCCTCTGCAGGAGAACACGAATCAGCCTCTGCAGGAAACCCCGACTCAGCCTCCGCAGGAGACCCCAACTCAGCCTCCACAGGAGGCCCCGACTCCACATCCGCAGGAGACCCCGACTCAGCCTCCGCGGGAGACCCCGACTCAGCCTCCCCGGGAGACCCCGACTCAGCCTCCGCGGGAGACCCCGACTCAGCCTCCGCGGGAGACCCCGACTCAGCCTCCACGGGACACCCCGACTCAGCCTCCCCGGGAGACCCCGACTCAGCCTCC